TTCATAGCTGGCCAAACGAATCGCTCGGAGATTAACTTCCTGCTGCCTCGTGCTCCTGGGTGAGAAATTCCGTGTAGGCATTCCATGATGGTTCTCCGTTGAGTACTTGGAACGAAAGGTCGTGGTTTTCCGGTCGAGACGTCACAGTAGATCGGTTGAGAACAACCACTCATCCGTTTTGCTTCAAATTTCAGCGAAGTAGATTTGGATTGCATCAACTGCTGAAGCTCCGCGTCGTTTTTCTGCTTTCGTCCGATTTCTTCATAGTCCACCGAAGTAGGCGCTAGTATACTCTCCACACGAGACAATGCATCGGCGACGTAATTTTCACTTCCACTGACATGTTGTATATCCGTAGTAAATTCCGAGATGAAACGTAGGTATCGTTCTTCATGCGGTAGCCGAGAGCTGGAATCGGTTGTTAGCGCGTATGTTAGTGGGCGATGGTCAGTGAAGATCGTGAAGTTGCGTCCTTCAAGGAAGTGCCGAAAATATTTCACAGACATTTTCATCGCAGTCAGTTCACGGCCAAAAGTAGAGTATTTCGTTTGGGACATCGAAAATTTTTCGGAATAAAATCCGAGTGGTTCCCAATTCTTACCATTTAGCTGCAGCAAGACAGCCTCCGCAGCAATATTTGAGGCATCGATCATCAGAGCTAATGGTTTCGACGAGTCAGGGTAGTGAAGCAGTGCTGTCTCCGCTAATGATTTTTTACAACGCTCGAAGCTTGATGAAGCTGCATCTGTCCACTGTAGTTTACGTATGTCATTTTTCCTGTTCCCGGGAATAAGCTTCTGCAACTCAGCTTGGATGTCGGATGTATGACGAACGAAGCGTTTGTAGCCGTTGGCGAGTGCCAGAAAGCGACGGAGTTCCTTGACTGTTGTCGGTTTCTCGTAGTCCATAATGGCTTGGACGCGTGACGGGAGCGGCCGCACTCCATCACTGCTGATCAGGTATCCTAAAAATTCCACTTCCTTTTGGGCAAACACGCTCTTACCCAAATTTAGAACGAGTCCGTGCTGGCGTAGGCGGTCAAACACTATGCGTAGATGCTCCTGGTGTTGAGCAAGGGATTCAGAAGCGATGCATATGACATCTATAAAGACAACAACGAAATCAAGATCACCAAAGATTCGGTTCATGTAGCGCTGGAACGTCTGACTTGCGTTACATAAGCCAAATTGCATGCGGGTGAACTCAAACAAGCCAAACGATGTGATGACCGCCGTTTTGGGAATGTCTGCTTCCTCCACCGCAACCTGATGATACGCTCGCTCCAGATCAAGAGTTGTGAAAACGGACTTACCATGAAGCGAATGCAGCAAATCGTGGATGTGCGGTACCGGATAACGGTCAGGTGTAGTGATATGATTTAAGCGACGGTAGTCACCAACGAAACGCCATTTCCCGTTCTTTTTCAGCACACAATGCAAAGGACTTGCCCAACTGCTACTCGATGGTCTGCATATTCCTAGGTCACACATAAGGCGAAACTCTTCCTTAGCAGCTTTAACTTTGTCCGGATGCATTCGTCGAACTTTAGACGCCACGGGTGGTCCACGAGTAACTATGTGATGGGTTACGTCACACTGCGTGACAGAACGAAGCGTCGATGGCAGAGTTATTTCCCGGTACTCCATTAACAAATCGTGGAACGGATGATCGGCACCAACAAGTGTTACACTGTGCAGAGCAGCAGTCATCATACCTCCAGAAGACTTCAATCCTGTCTGGCCATCTATCAGTTTTTGGTTTTTCAACTCGACGAGTATGCCGAAGTGCGCCAAAAAATCAGCACCGATTATTGGCATCGTCACTTCAGCAACGAGGAAATTCCAGGTGAATCTTCGTCTCAATCCTAGGTCAACAGGAATAAATTTCGTTCCAAATGTCCGAATTCTACTTCCGTTGGCTGCGTGGAGCTGTTGTATAACGGTACCGTTCAATCAATCTCTCCTGGAGGCAGGCAATATTGTGACGTCCGATCCAGTGTCGATTAGAAAGCGTGTATTGTTCGTCCTGTCAAAAATTACCATTCGGCGACTTTCCGACACTCCGGCCACCACCGCCGATGATGGTGGGGAGGATGCTAGTTTTTTGAGCTCCATGAACACGGTTCTCGGCACCGCTGAGCATCGTTTCCATATTTCCTATGGTACCAGCACAGTCCGGATCGTGATGACGAACGAGAACCACTTCGGTTTCGCGAAAACGAACGGCCTCGCTCAGGGTTGGGAGCCTTCAGGCGTCGGATTTCCGCTGTGAGAAGTTCGATCTGCTCTGCTAGCTTCCTTTCACCACTGTTGCTGTACGTTGGTTCGTTGTGCACCATGGCAACTGCGGAGGACTGACCGTTGGAGGCGTCGGTGATCTTGTCTGCCATTTCAGCCAACTTCTCGATGGTACCATCGTGGCATGTGAGAATTGGTCGAATGTTTGCCGGGAGGCGTTGAATGAAAATCATTTTGAGCAGATTGTTATCCACGCCCAAACCCGTCGACAACTCTCTCATCTTTGCTAACAGATGCGTTGGGCGCATATCGCCAAGATCGTGGGCTCCCAGCAGCTGTTCGAAGCGGCTTTCAGCCGACAGGGCGAAGCGAGCAATTAGGCGATCTTTTACTGTTTTGTATTTATTTTCCGCTGGAGGAGCAGCTACCAAATCGGCTATGTGACATATAACCGATTGATCCACTTTGGCCACGATGTGGTAAAACTTGGTTTCATCATTTACGATTTTCGCCAGGTGGAATTGCGCTTCCGATTGCGCAAACCACATAGCCGGATCAGTTTTCCAAAAATCCGGTAGTTTTACCGCGACAGATGCTGCTGCGTTGCTCCCGTTATCCTCCGGCATTTTGAGGTTAGTTTCGGCTTTGAGATCGAATATCGGCGAATAACCGTGAAATCGGACCGAAACTTTTAGATTCGCTACGTCGCGGGTCACCAATGTAGCGATCGGACACGGAATAAAGAACGATTAGTTACGAAATACTTAAAATCTTTATTTTTACTTTCAATAGAAAAACAACCACGTTCGCGCGTTGATAGCTGCGTAGCAAAGATTGACAGCTTGAGTTCTTTTTCTTCGACGACGACCCGATGGAAGCCAGGCTGACCAGTGTTGCCGGGCGATGCCACAGACCCTTCAACAGAAACAGCTTTGCTCTGTTTCCTTAAAGACACAAAACTGTACGAACGAATTTAGCTAACATCAACCACGGGAACTTCTAAACAACAACAAAGTGCGCCACTACAGGACTACGATTAAGGTTTCTTGATTAACAACTTTACTGACTTGATTAACAACGCAACTAAACCGGACATTTCAATTTATGGAACTTTATAAAATTATTGTTATGAAAACTTATGTTTATGCTTTGCCAAGGGGGTCTCCTTCGATGCCTCTTCTGTTAAATAAAGAGACGAACCAGCCTAAGGCTGAAAGTCTCTATAATAAAGACAAAAAAAAACCACTCACTCATCTGGTCATATCTCAAAAACTATTTGTCCAAATCATCTAGTAGAAGAGTTTTCCAAAGTGTGGTGACAATTTGAGCCCAAAATATTAAGAAATAAAAAATCCCGCCCATGGTGAAAATAGTCCATTTTTTGACAATTTGGATACATGCCGGTAATCAGCCTGTTTACTGTAGTAACTATAACAAAAACAAAATGTTAGTACACTTAAAAGCATCTACATTAAAAACCCTTCAAATGGACGTTCTAATATCACGAATAGCTTATTTCGTTGTGGATTAATCTCTTCTGAAAGATGAAATTTAAAAAAAAAATCGAGAATCCAGGGTTGTAGCCAAGAGGGATCTAGGCACTCCAGAGCAAAATCAAAAAAGGCACTTGTTCAGAATGCCAAAATAAGCGTTTTGGCTCCAATCGGTGACATCGACCACAGGTGGTGTACCCACTTGAGCTGGAATGACCCATATAGAAATTTGTACATCTTCGAAAATCTTTGAAATTGTTCCCAGCTCGAGATGTTGCTATGTTTGAATTCTTATAAATTTTTGAAAGCCCATGATTTAGTTTTTAAATCCGGTATTTTGATTTGATAGTTTTTTCCTACTCTGGGCCTAACTGTTTTCTATATCCAAAGATCTTAACGAAGGTGTTTAGTCAAGATCCGATGAACTTCAAATGATTCGCAACCTTGGTTTAAGACTGAGGTCTTTAACAAAACTAAATTCAAAAATTTCATGAGTACGAAACCTTGAAAATCTTTCTGATTTAGAATATTAATAAATACGGAATTCGTCGAACCTCAAATGATCCAAAATCATGTTTTAAACCTTGAATTTCAATAAAAAGCTAAGTCCGCAATCTTCAAAATTTTCCTAAATACGAAACCTGGTGAGGTGGACCAAGCTGGAAACCTTGAAACTGAAATACGACCCAGAACCTTGAAGAAATTGACAATGTTGCTAGTCCAAAGAACTTTTCCCTGGATTTAAATTGTTCAAGCCATCTTTGTTTCACTTTTCTACATGATTGGTAATATCATTATAGTTTTTAATGCAGTTATAAATAAGGATTGAGAAATATTTCTCTAAATTTAATGAAAATTCCAAAAGAATATCTGAGTTTTCAGATAAAAGTTGAATTCCCTGATTTCCCAGGTAGTAGACTCCCTGCTACTTAGGCTACGACATAATAGAGTGCCTATATTGATAGACATTCCGCAGAGCAAAATTGCATTGATCAAGAGCAACAGGTGAAAAGAGCCCATGTGCCAAATGCAAAACAATGACTTTAATCGTCGATTTCCCGCGGATAAGGACTAATTCAGACAAACCGGATACCACCATCGGGTAGAGGAAGGTTGCTCTTCTATCAGCTGGTATAGTTAGGTTGCGTGGGCGCGTTATGATTCGTAAGCAATCGACGTTCAAGTCGGGGCTTGTAACATGCTGCTCGAGCTATCTTCCGTGTGCCAATAATATTCCCCAATACCAATGCTCTAGGTACCCGGTACTCACCTGTCTTATCGTTGGGCCCGTTGATTTGCTTCTTGAGCGACGACTGCCCGCCCGGAGTCGCCGTCGTCAACACATACGTCTCACCCTGATGGCTGTGCGTTGCATGCTGAAGCTGTATCTGATGCTGCTGACCTTGTTGCAGTACCTGTTTCGTCGCCGTTAGCACCTGATTCCCACTGACGGTCAAAATATTGCCTCCACTGGTGGCAATCTGCTGCATTTGCTGCTGCGACAGTACGATCGGCGTCGTATGCTGCACGATATAACTACCGGTAGGGGTCGAAGTGCCGCTACTGCTAGCGCTTCCAGTATTTCCGGTCAGCGTGATAGATGAGCCTGACAGGGTGGTGTGCTGAGGATGCGCTTGCAGCTGATGCTGGGCGGCGAGTACTGGGATGGTTGTTTGTGCCGTCGCTACCATTGGGTTCATCACAGTTGTAGTGGCTTGTGGACTGGGTTGGACCACTTGCACCGAAGGAGAAGCAATCAGGAATGATGTGGCTGCCGTAGCAGGGGACGCTGCAGCAGCAACGGCACTAACGGCGGAAGCAGCTTGCAGGTGATTGATGGGTTCGAGTTTGATTTGCGGAGCCGAGAGAGAATGCTGCTGGAAAGTACTTCCCGCTGGTAGCACGGAAGTATTCGTCTGTAGGTGGGGAGCGGAATGGGACTGGGATGCGGGTGCAGACGGGGAACACGCTGCAAGCAATTCGTCTGGAGGTTCAATTTTGATTTGATCGGCGGGAATGGTAGCGGATACGGAATCAGATTCTTCTTCCACCTTGACTTCGGTTTCCATGGGAACGGGCTCAGTTCCTTCCGCTGGCGCTTTTTCGGCCTCTAGAGGAATGTTGTCTTCGGTATCAGATGACTTTTTGAAGATTTCCTCTGCCGGTGGATTCCGTACGGCGAAGAAACTACTGCCTACTAAATAGTTGCACCGCTTCAGAATCTTCCTTCGTTTGCTCTTGAACCTTTCAACGTTCGCCAGCCGGTCGTAGCCTACCAGCTCCGAGCAGTAGCCGATTTTGTGAGCCGATAGTTCTTCGGTAGGTGGTGGGCTGACGAGTTCTCGTATCGTGAGAGGGTCTTCCTTCACGTCAGGACCGGTGCCAGCACCGGTCTCGTCTGCCGTCTCCAACTGATTCAGTATCCCGTCTTCTAGGATTCCGTTCCAGAAATTGCTCGTCTGGTTCAACGACTTCATGTCATCGATTTGGCACTCTTGCAAAATCTTGTCCAGCATTTTTTCATCCTCGTTGGATTCGCTCAAACTGAGGTTCAGATCATTTAGACTATCCCCACTGAGATTGTTATCCGAATTGGAACACGTTTCCAGCTTGATCCCCAACTCATCCGTAGCGTCTTTCCGACCAGAAGCAACAGCAGCATCGTCCAAGCCCAATGGATGCGGCTCCACGAGACTATCCAGCGCAAACTGTTTCGTCCTGTAAACACTGTCGGTTTGGTTAAAGATATCTCCTGGAAAATCGGTACCAAGTGATTGCAGCTCCAGCGCTATCCGGTTGGCATCCGTTTGGAACAACGGATCATCGTCTAGCAGACCATCCTCCGCTTGCAGCATCGGTTCCGGCGTCTTTGGTCGGAAGTGTAGCCAACTGGATTGGATATCGTTCAACAGATCCGTATACACGCTGGCAATAGCTGAGGTATCTGCAGCAGCGGCCGAGTCGTCCAACCCAAGGTCCTCGTTCAACCGACTGCTACTGAATGCGTCCAGCGATCCCGCAGAGGTCAACCCAGGTGTCGCCGTTTGCTGTTGAAGCACCCTCAACGACTGCTGCAGCAATTGCTGCTGATACTGGGATACTGTACGATTCTGCAAATTACCGCTAATACTATTGCTAAACGATTGATTAAAATTGTTCCTACTATTGACGTTGCTACCACTGCTGCTGCTGCTGTTACTGTTACTGCTGCTGCTATTGTTGCTTATCCGGTTCCTATAGCTATTATTTACATTGTCTATCATGTGCTCGTAATCTTCCAGGACCTCCTGCTTCACTGTCACAATGCCACCAGCTTCACTTTTTATCACATTATTTTCTGAGTTATTCACACTTACACTAGTACTGCTGGTGCTACCACTATTACTACTAATTACAAACGTCGACGAGGACGTCCCTCCCGCTGCTGCCTGGGCGGCAACCGATGTCCTTTCATCACTGCACTTTTCCTGTTTCACTTCCACCACATCACCGACCAGCCTGTCACTCTCATCTTCCTCCGCCAAGCCGTCGGTTTTTCTTCTCCTGGCCAACCCGAAATTGGCCATAAACAAATCGTCCAGGTCCGTTTCTTCCTTGATCACTAGCTGTCTGGTTCGTTTCATACCACTGTTGTTGTTGTTGTTGTTGTTCACCACTAGCTTCGACTCGAGTTCGTTCCACTTCCTCTCCATATCATCGATGACAGTCGTAGGTGTTGCCACTGATAACGCCGAAGCTGCTGTTGACGTAGCCGTCGTTAGTCCACCGGCCGACACCGGAACGACGATGCTCTCCTCCTCGGGTTCCATGGCAACGGCCGCAGCCGGGGTCGTTTCCGACTCGATGATCTTGTAGTCCAACCGGGACCACAGGTCATCCAGATCGGTGGATACGCGATCAATAATCACCCGGCCACCGCGACCGATGCGCCTCCGGGCGAATCCAATGCAGCGGGGTCTGCGAAATCGGGAGAAAATGAATGGTGTTTAGATTAGAATGGTTTGATAATTCCGTTCTTAACCCTTTCCCGCCCAGAGTGTTTTTAAAATAATGAATTTTAATAACCAGTATCTCCCTGGAGTGTCTTGAGATATTGGTCTGGATTTTGTTTTGATATTAGAAAAAATAGTACAGACTAAGTTATAATATTGGTTGGTAACGGACATTCAGGGAAATGCCGTTCGGGCTAACGGCATTCGGAGTAATGTAGCACAGTCAGAATTCTTCAGAATTTCAAAGCCAGGGATAAAATTCCCTGAGTTTCCAGGTTTTTCCAGCACTTCCAACGACTTCAATACAAATGAAACTTTGTTTTGGAACCCGTCGTAGCATATGTTCCTCTTCCGATCTTTAAGCGTACGAGGTTTCTTATGGACTAAAACTGCCCATAATCGCATATCAGTCCCATATGGATAGGAAATCAAGCAAAGATGGGACTGATATGCGATTATGGGTAGAAAAGTTCGCTCGTGTTCCCGTTGAAGCCATGTCGCAACGTTTAACTTTTCTGTGCTGTCCCTATGTCAATGCTAGATCGTGTTCATGTACCTCCGAAGGCAGATCGAACAGTCACGCGTTTTCCATCAATGTATGCTCCGTTTTGAACTTGATACAAACCGCGTTCTCCTTCCCAATTATGTAGGTTCTTTCCATCCCTAAAACATTCGCATCCAGTGACTTAACAATGTTGGTTCACGTGGGTTAATGTTAGCTCACGGGAAATGAAAGCCAATAAGTGTATTCCTGACCGAACTAGCATCCCCTACAAAAGCTTCCAAACACCACTGATCCGTTCAAATAAATGTTTCAATTTAAATGTACTGCAACTTGGTTATTACCCACTTGTTGACCATCAACGAGGGCAATTAATTGATCGCAGATTTACTCTTCCTGCTTCAATAATAGACAACGGATCAGTTACAGTTCGATCCGAGTCCCATGGAAAAGCAGGACACACTACCGGCCACCTTCCAATTCAAACCCCTAGTCAGAGAATGACACAAGCAAGCAAATCGTACCTGGGATGTCGCAGCGATGTGAGGGCAAACCGATACCGTGGATCCGCTTTTCCGTTTTCCTCCTTGGACACCCACGGCCAATCGCCGAAACCTTTCGTAATGGGCTGCAATTGAGAATAAATCACATGGTTCAACGTCAGTTTGCCCGGTAAGTTTTGATCATGACTCTCACCCTATGATATTGACTAAGTTTACTCCGCCGAAATGCGTACGCGTATTCCTCCTCCGGGGCGGTGGTTCCTTGCAGGTTAGCAAGTTCCTCCTCGTCGGAGGATAACGCCGGATCGGCAGCGCCTAAAAAACCCAACGAGCAACGTTAGAACCCAGCCCGAGAGGACAAGCCGTGATATCTTACCACTGCCCAGTCCACTCCCGATGGCGGCATCTCCTCGCCCACCGGCACCGCCCGAGGCCGCAATTCCACCTAGTCCTCCCACGCCGGCTCCAGCCGGATGGTACTGATAGTGATACCCACCGACGACCCCCGTTCCCACACCACCGGCCGTGCCCAGTCCGACACTGGAGCTTCCGGTTACCGTCGAGCTGCTCGCCGAAGGTCGTTCCTTCTGTATTTTGTGCTTCCGTTTCTTGTACTGTCGTTTCTCCTTCCGGCTGTTGCTCAGGCTCTCGCTGTCCCGCTTGCTGGAACTGGTTCCTGCCACGTGGTACTGAGACGTCGACGACGAAGATGGTCCGTGGTACGCCCCGGAACCACTTGCATGCCCCCCGGAACTGCCCAGGGCCGTGTGGTGCGCCGAATATTGATTCGAGTAGATCGGAGCAAATGCGGGTCTGAAAGCAAGGGGTAATGATTGATTGGCAATGAGCAACTATGCACGATCATGGAGGTACAAACCTGGATGCCTTGGTTGCGCTGGAGGTAAATTCGGCCAGAAGCTGCCCGTTGAAGTCCTGCGCCTGGTAACGTTTCTCGTAGATCTCGATGCCGAGATGCAACTGCTCGCGCTTGATCTTCTCGCGCCGCTTGATCATCTCCAGCAGGGTAACCGCTCGACTGAGGTCTCGCCTGGGGATACAAAATGTTGTTGGTTTGGAATGCGTTTACCGTAGAAAGGGGGGAAATTGATCATCATTGTTTGTCTAAAATAACAGGTTCCTTCTTAAAATTGCTTAGAATTTTTAGGCCGATTTCTCCCAATTATCGTCAGAAATTGGCTTCAATTCTACCTAGATTGCTTCTTGGATTAGTCTGTACTATCCCAAAAGTTTTTGAGCATCCAAACTCTTCCAGAAAGATTGTTGGGCTCCTCTGGTAAATTTAGTTAAACGACTTCAAGATTCTTACACAAATTTTCAAAGCATTTTCATTCCAAATTATCACAAAAATCTTTTGAAGCTGTACTTAAATTTATTCTGTGTCTACCAATATTGAAATTAGTTTGGAAAATTTCAATTAATTCCTCCAAGTTCCTATGCAGTTCGTTGCGAAGGTCTTCCATACTAATGAATTTAGTTAGTTTTGTTCATTAAAAAGACTTTCAACTCTTGGTTGATTCATAATAATTTCCGCATGCATAATTAGTCTCAATCGATAGCAATGCCTTAACTACTATTTGAAACAGGTTAGGGACGAATTACTTTCAGAAATGTGCTCGGATTAGATACAATCCAGTCAACATTTACCCACAAACCAATGAAACTAGTATCGAAATTCAGATGGAATTCACCATGGAATGTCTAAACTGAATTCTCCCGACACAGGAATTCATTTGAATTCATCTATGTTAAACCATGATCTGTTGAAGACTGAGATCAATGTGAAGGGCAAATAATCATAACCCTTGTTAACTGCGATGACAGATGTTATCGTGACCAGAAAAAAAGAAGAGGTCATCATGATGATTTATGAATGAATACGAACTTCCTGCGAAATATTGTTTTAAATTTTCTCATCTTCATACTCCAATGCCCTTGAATTCATAATGATAATTTTCTCTTTTCCACAAGAATTTCTAATGAAATTTCTAATCAACGTCGTGAAAAACCACCGGAATTCGGCATGGAAAATACCAAAATTCCAGCACGGAAAAAACGGAGACCCATTTGAAATCAGTTTCGACATATTCGATAAAAAGTGATCAATTTGCACCCGAACTACGGTTCCATTCCCCGCTAAAACAAACCTCAGCTTCAGCATCTTCTCGTATGACGATTCGTCGTTCTTGCGGTTCTTCCTGGTTTGCATCTTCTCCGTTCGCCTCCGGAATGCCAGATACGGATTGTTCGGCGTGGTGCTGCCCCTGGTTTCCGTCTTCACCGACAGGATCAACGGGTGTTGCTGAAATTTCAAATTCAGTGCGTCACGCAATGCAATCGAACCAAACAATCCAAAACCCGCAAACCATACCGTCTTGAGCCGCTTGTTGAGCCAATAGTCGTACACGGCTATGCTCAGTTCATCGTCCTGCTTGAGCAGGGCTTTGGCTTCGTTCAGCGTAACCACCGTCTGGCCGGAGCTTTTCTCCAACCGGTCCATCATCGTTTCGAACTTGAGCGGGTCCAGATCGAGCCGTTTGCCCTGCGTATTGACCCACTGCTCGTCCGCACTGTCCATGTCGTAATCGGGCACGTCCTGTTCCAGGTTGAGCGCTGCAAAGGAGAAAACCTTTCATTACAGACGAACTTTCGACAACTTCCATCCACCATTCACTTACGCTGCATGTGGATCATTTGCTTGGGCATTTTGTAGTCCGTCGGGTAGTACTTTTCGTAAAACTCCGAATCGGTCGCCTCGAACACCTCCGGCGTGGGAATGATCAGCCCGGTGCATATTGCTCGCTGCAGATGATGTTCCTAGAAATGGCAAAATCCGGTGAGTCGTTGACTCCTGAAATCGATCCTCAAATTGAATCGAATTTAGCCGGTGTCCTACAACTTGGTTACTGTCAGATCTATCGCAATAATAGACGACGGATTCTTTTAGCCATCCGTGTCCCGTGGAAAGGTAGGTTCGTTTCGTACGCCGGCCATCAAAAAGTGCCAATTCCCTGAAAACTAATCTTCTAGCAATAAACCCGATCGCAAAATACATGCGCGCCAGTTTCTAATTTGCACAACGATAACAACCCGAATCTATCTTATCGCATAATAAAAATTCTTCCAAGAAAAACAAACACAACAAAATCACCCGGACGCAACAACGTTGATTAAATTCGACACCTCGAGTATTATTCCTACGATGATGTTGTTGCTGTTGCTACCGATATTGGTAAATAAAAACACACCTCCCCATCAGGCATGGTTTGCTTTGCATGCGATTAGCTGTCAAACAGCAAACAAAAAAAAAACACCTCGAAGGCCGAACATTTTTAGCGCGCCAACCGCTGCAAGATGCACCGAACCGATGTAAACAATGCCCATTTCCCGACCGGTTCCCATCCCATTCGATCCGCCGGCCAAAACCACCTGACCAACCGACCACCGCCGGAACGTTCCCGTGCACTTTCCACCGGAAAATCGCAAATTTTCCAACCCATCCGGACGGTCTGCCTCTATCCGGGATTTTGCAGCTCTCGGCAAGATGGCGGCGCACGAAACCTCGTTTTTCTCCGTCGCTGCCCTAGTCATAGCAAAATGAGCATTCACTTTTGAGGACATTTCGCTTACCGATTCCTCCTCTTTTTCCATTCCACTGGGCATCTGCGGCACGGCACGGTTGATGGCCGAGTATTCCGGCAGATCCGGAAGCTCCTCAGCCAGATATATGGGCATTGGTTTCGAGGGATCCAGGGCCCTCGCCCGAAACGAAAGCTTCGACATTTTTTTTTCTTCGCCTTGCTTCTTTCTCTCTCTCGCTTCCTCTTGCTCGGCTGGCGTGTTTGTTGGAACGCCTTTTTGTTGACTGTCACCTATCTCTTTCTTTCTTTTCTTTCCCACCCTCCCTCTCGTTCTCCACAACCACCTTCCCCTCACCCGATGGATGCGTGCAAAAAACTGGGACCTGAACCAAGAAAACCGAACGGAAGAAAAAAACACGCCAAATTTTCTACTCCCAAGGTCCGCTAGTAGGTCCACCGGGACCCGGTAACACGACCCGGAACGTTTTCTAGTTCATTCCGGTGGCCACGGCGCGCTCGCACTCAGTCACAAACGGGAAAAAACGATTTTCTGATCTTGCTTCTAGAGCGTGGTTACGGAAAGCCATAATGGCGGCTCTAGTTAACTACTGCGCTCGCTGCCTGCTGCGCCTTGTAGCTTTGGCCGTGGCTGCGAACCGAGCGCGAAAATTCGTGCACTCACACCAACAAAGCCAAAGAGAAAATCGACATCCGCAGGTTCGTTCAAACACCACCCGATCGAATCAGAATCCTTTTCGTGCAGAAGGTGACGTTTCGAAGGGAACAATCCACAGCAAAATCCCTTCAATTCTAACCTCAACGTACACTTCTCTCCCCAAAAATCCCATCAACTCCCCAAAACAACGGTACTTTAATTTACTTTCCCCATAAAATTCCTCCAATTTCATCCCAATCAGAAACCAAAACAAACCCCAACCAAAATAGTTGCGTTCAATGCCGACCCGCAGGATGACAAACAAATCGAGAGCTGTGACTGTGTGCGAGCTGCACGAATAGAATTGATTTTTCGACTGGCGTAATGTCGACCGTGTGCCCATGCAACAAACACGAGAACGGATGACGCGGATCTCCACGCGTTTTCGTGTTGATGTCAAAAGTGACGGAACTGTCAAATTACGACGGACATTTTATTTTGCTACAAAGGAATTGCACACTGAAATAGAACAAAGACTTTTGAATTATTTACGAGCATTTTAAAACCACTCTGTGCTAAAAACTATCCAAATATGGGGTGTAATCTACCTAATTTAGTTTTTTTCTTATTACGAAACAACGAGCCCACACACATGAGATCTACATTACCTCACACGGTAACCAGCGTAAACACATTAATGTGTAATATTTCACACATTTCGTGAAAAAAGGGGTCTACTCAAAGAATGTGTAAACTGCGTTTACACATTTATGTGTAAACCCTTCAAACATCAATAGAAGTGTATTTTTTACACATTTTTCAAGAACGGTTTTTACTGCCAAATGTATAAAAAGTAATCATTCAAAGAAATTAAATATGATAAGGATGCATGTTTTTTTTTTATTAATATCGGAGTTTTCTTATTTGTGTCAATGATAAAATAAAGACTGATCGGATTCAATATTTTATTTAAAAAAATCACAGCCATACACCGGACAGTGAAAACTTTAATAATGATTATTTTGCTAGGGCTTAGCTATGAAAATAATATGAATCACTTACCCTCTAGCTTGTCCACCGTTGCTCTGCTACAGTTTGGACCGAGGTTTGGACCGTATTTTCTACATTTTTCTGTTAAAATTGCTGAAATTTTTTCGCTTAGGCAAATGGAGTCCATCAACGAAGCAGAAGTTTTTTTTTACCCATTAATGAGTATAAAAATACACATTTTTTGACTGGTACTACATTTTTAAAATGTGTATTTTTTACACCTTTTAAGATTTCCAAATTTACACATTTTTTGACAGCAGCCAGTATAGATGAATCGAATGGAAACTTAAAAGAGTGATGAGAGCATATGTTTTCTCCTCTACTGATTTATTTATCCATCGTATAGGCCTGAATTTATAAAGAGACGACATCTTAGGGGCTGTTCATAAACTACGTAGACAGTTTAGGGGGGGGGGGTTGACAACTATCCACGGCCCTATTAGTAGCTTTAGTAGCCTATTGGTCCCAAGCAAACGATTAACGTACCCTGTTCTAGTTGAAATTCTATTACTACACTATGTTTGTTTTGATTCGCTATGAAAGTTTGACAGATAACATCAGTGGTGTGTGGATTCATGCAGAACATGCAGGGGTGAGTGAAATAGCTTGGAACTGCTTGGGACCGTTGTTCTGGTACTGAGTGAGCCAAAAATAATAATGATTTTCTTCGGGACCCAGTGGTCTTAGCGTTACCTCTATGGTAATACCCCGTTCACATTACAGCTTATATCACGTGATATACGATATCTTGCAATGAGCACTCATACATCTAGTTTTCACTGGAAATCCTATGTATGAGTGCTCATTGCAAGACAGCCTATATTACGTGATATAGGCTGTAATGTGAACGAGGTATAAAGTGAACATGAAGTTGCTCATTGCACATCGGAACAGGACGCGAAAGCTGAAAAGGTGCATCCTACGCACTTGCCAACCGACTTCGAAATAGTGGCGGCTAAAGAGCCTGAATTTATAAAGAGACGACATGTCAAAGTTGGAACAATCGATTGTCTGTCAAAGTCATTTGAAAAGTAATTCCAATCGAGCAGAATACCTGTCAAATGGATAAGATGTCGCCTCTTTATAAATTCAGGCTCTTTAGTGGCGGCGATCCACAAAGCCGAAAATAGCGCCACGCAATTATTGCTTTCACTAGGATGCAGTGAGGGCGATATTGATTTCAAAGAAAGTATAAACCGAAAACATAAATCCACAAAATTTGAATTTGTCGCGTCGGCCAAGCACTCGGATCTCTAAATAATTCCGATGATTCCGAAAACACCAGGGAAAACACGGAAGGTACATGATTAAAACTTGAGTATTTTCAATTCATCTACCAGACTTGAAAAGGTGTATTTTGTATTTTTTCGTATTTATGTATTTTTAAGTTTAGTGTATTTTTGTATTTAAGTGTATTAAGTGGATGTATTGTCAATACATTCTATATTGACGTCAATATATCGAGATTGACAATATTTCTGAATTCACATCATCAATATTATTGTCAATAATTCCCCTTCGCGTCAATATAATGATGCGTGTGGGGTTTGCTTTAAATTAATTATGAAATGTATTTTTCGTGTACAAAGAATTTTCGAGGTATTTAAAGGGTATTTAAGTTTCAGCGTGTAAACGTATTTTTATTGTATTTTCCGAAGTGTGTATTTACAATTCAGCTGATTTATGAAGGTGATCGCCCCTCGATTAATACTGTATTATTTTTAATATTTAATTTTAAAAAATATCGAACACGAATGTGAGACTTCACTCATTAACATGGAAGCGAAACTGGAGCTGATAACGGTCGAGAACGTGCAGGACGAATTCAGCAAAGAAGAAGCCGTGGAGCTGATGTGACACCACGTGGCTCACACCTCACAGATGCATGTAAACAAGAGTTCTAAATATAAAAAAAAATCGTTCGTGATCTGGTTGCTGTCATCGGGCCGACTTAAACGGTCAAGTGATCGGCTACAGCGCTTCCGGCAACTACGATCGAATGAACCAACACCCATGGTATGGAACGCAACATTGCAGCAGGTATCGGTAGGAGATTGGGTTGTGCTTGCCGGAAAAGTTCTGTGCCATGTCACAAACTTCAAATATAAGACAGGTAAAGTTTACTTACTCACGCATATTCTTGTTTTCGTTTAAACCGTTCGAACAATACAAAATGTGTATGGTTCGACCGAAAATAATAATATGGGTGATTTTTTATAAATTCGGTTTAAATCACTACGACGCTTACCTCCGAAAACGGACCGGATGGTGGCCACATATCGCGGTTGTATCACAAACGAAGTGACAGACGACTAACTGGCGAAGAAATCCATTTAAATAATGTGGTTCACTGTAATAGAATTTTCTTGGAAGCTTGTGCCATCATCCACCAGATGGGTTAGTTTTTTTGTTTTGATTTGAACAAAGTTGATTTTGTGTACATTGATTCTTTGACAGTGTGCAAAGAGTGTGTATCATTTTGTCATTTTTTAGATAGAACCAAAACATTCTAGTACATTTGGTGAAAATGCTAGTTCAATCTAGTAGTAGTGTTGCCATGTGGTACAATCCAGTAGTAGTGGCAACAATCAATACGAAACTAACGATTTTAAATTGGCTCGCTACTTGACTAGCCTATTGGTCCCAAGCAAACGATTGAGGGATACGTCGAAATTCCAATACTACGCAATGTTTGTTTTGATTCGCTATGAAAGTTTGATAGGTAAAATGAGGGGTTATTGGTTTTTCCTATGTTTCAAGGGGTGAATCGATTAGCTTGGGACCGAAGAGAGTACCAGAGCTGAGCCAAAAAGTTGAGCACATTTCTTCGGGACCTTCTGGTCTTAGAGTTACCTCTATGGTAGTGGTGTTGCCATGTGGTACACTGAAAAATTGCAATAGCAGGTTAGTCACCAAAGTTTTCGAGCCGCTCCGTCTGTCACTTCGTTTGTGGTTGTATTGTTGGGACTTAATAATCCTCCTGCCCGAGGTTTTGTTCCAAAAAATTGGCGTCGATGACACTGTCGAAAAATTGTCTCTTCTTTTACGATTTATGGATGTCTTATGAGAATTTTCGGTGCAGTGAAAGGATAGTACAAATTCCGCCATGTATAACGCACAGACTGTCGTTTACTTATTGGATTTTTCCATAGGAGTAAAGAGTTACAGAGTCACCATCAACGCCAATAAACAACGACGATCGCAGGGGGATCTATCATTTTCAGCGATGTGGAAGTCATGGTTGCTTGTAAACATTGTATGTTGCCGCGTGACGTTTTGACAGCTCATTCGACACAGAAACACCCTGAAACACCCAAAAACACACAAGAAACACAATCAGCACAGTCACAAGGTGGCAGAGTGGCTTACCCCCTGCTAATTCTATGAATAATCATAAATTAAACAAACTATACATACACTCACTTTATACTATCCTATGTATAAACAATTGTTATACTAAGCGTGTATTCTCTCTTTATACCAAGTTATGCATCGGTCAGGAGAGTTGTGATTTAGTGTAGCTTTTAATCTATTTAGATTTTAATATTTTCTGAGTGTAAGTAAAAATTCACTAATTAAATGGAACACAGCCTTAGTTTACACATTTTTAGGTAGGTTCAGGTTTAACCTATCTACGGGGATTACACCCAATTCTGGATAGTTTCAAAATTGCGTGCTGTATCGAACGAAATGAAAGTAAAAAATATAATTATTTTAATATTTTAATTTAATCCTCTCTTATTTCTCGTTCTCGATTCGACCAAAGCAGACCTAATCCACAGTTGATTCTCTCGCTTCTGAAGCATTTTTATCACCACCACCACCACTTCGCATCCCGTCGCAACCGTATCAGAAAACATCTTGCACCACTACACTCACACTTACAGCATAAAAATATGCCAAAGTTGACAGCAGCATGAGCAACACACATTATGCTGTCACATCACACACATCAAAACCTAAGAGAAGAGGAGACAATACGGGGGCGAAAAAAAACCACTTTTCTGTCAAACGCGAACCACTTCCTGATTGGTCGATTTCATGTGCGTAAGATAGAGATAGAGATAGATAAAGATAGAGATAGAGATAGAAATAAAAGAGGAAGAAGCCAATTGTCACCTCTTCCTCTTAGATCAAAACATTGGTGATCCAGTGTTGGCAGATTATGCAATTCGGCACCTACTTTTCAGCCACAAGTTTGAGAGTAGACGTTCCATCCAAGCTTGATTGATTTATGTTTGTCCAAAATGAATAATCTATTGTGAATAGTTTATAATATTGTCTTATTCTATTGCTAGGAAATCACTCAGTTAAACAATGAAATAACTGGAAACAGTCCTAAATAATCATTATTGAGGAACGATTTCGGCTTATGATATTAGGCACCACTGCGCTCATTCGTGAGGGGAGCCGAACACAGCGCAATGCGCGATTAACCCTCTCTTGACCGTTTTCGTCCACTCGTTTCGCAGAGAGGCCAGTGCATTTCGTGTGCGAAGCGATGCAGGAGTGGCGGCAACATACGACAGAATCAACCGTACCGCAACGCAGCCCATCGTCGTCGACGTCGTTCGTCGTTCGTCGTTTTGAGTTGTGTAAATATTTCCAAGATGGACGGTCGCATATCCCCCTTGCTCTGCTGCGAGTGCAAGTGTGTTGATTCGATTTTCTAGCCCTGTGACAGCAGTTCATAGAACCCTTTTTTTCTGTGTGGATTTTGATTGATATCAATTGGAAAATAGTGCTTTGACTGGACGGGGCGAAGAAAGCGATGCGATTTGGCTCGTACGTTGGTAAAATTGAGTGTGAATGGGTGAAAATTTCGCTATTGACAGAAGTGGAAACAGTGCCGCAGTGGGTTCGTTCACGCCTATACGCCACCAGAAGGAAAATTCGGCCAGGAATTTAATCGGATTTTCATTTGACACACGGAACATTCTCATTTGCGGGCCAGAAACGACGCACAAATCTGTGTTGATGTTTTTCTTCTGATTGATTGTTAAAGCCTGCTTTAATTTGGTGTGATTGTCCTGTCATTGTCGCCGGAGTGTTTTTCGGAAGTGAATAATTTTGTGTGTGTGTGAATTTTCGTGAAAAACAAAGGCGGATTCCAAACAGATGTTCTGAAGCAAAGAACCAAGAGAATTCCGCGTCGAGAGTGTGCGCCGAGAAGCGGAGAATATAAAATTAACACACAATCATCGTCGTTCGGTGGAAAAGAAGTGGTCCTCCCCGGTTCGATTGATTGCAAATTTTGCGCTGTTCGCGGTCGAGAACGCCAAGTGAAAGTAGATATAAAAAAAAATCAATTTCACACATATTTGCCGTGGAGCAGCAGCAGTAGAACGGCGACGACGGATGCTGCCGCTTGCTTGTCGTGTGGGGAAAAACGGCCGGAAAATAGGTGTGTTCGTGTGCATGTGAGAGCAGCAGCATCGAGGAGTAGAGAAAATTTTCACTCTGATGGGCGGGTGATGTTTCTCCGTTAAAAATAGATGAAAGAAGTGAGGAGCTGCTGCAGGAAATTCTTGTCGTGTGCTTTCCTACATTGATTACTGATGGCCTTTGCTAGCGTTGTGGAGTAATATTGACCGAGAAGGAGATTTTCGTCAACGGGTCCCCGCGGGAAGGTGATACAAGAGTGAACCAAGCTACCAGTGCCAGGTTTGCTTCCGGAGTGTTTGGTTGTCGAGACCCGGTTGAGTGGTTCGTGGTGATTTGCAAGGTGCAGGGGATTCTCGGGTGACAGGCTTGCGGGTGACGGATCAAGAAGCCTTGAAAACGGAGAAGAGAACCGCACGGTCGAAAGGAATTCAAGTGGATCGAATTGCGGTGCCCTCTGGAAGAGAATTAGGTAGGTAGTTGGGGTTCTTTGAGACAATAATTCGTGGTTGAATAAGAAGGATTCGCTGCGATATTTCATTACAACATTGACAGGAAGATGACTGCCGAAGAGTCCTCTTTAATTAATACAACACATCAGAATCATTTTTTTTTTCGAATCAGGAAAAAGAGTTTAAACTGGTTTCATGCAAAGTTCTAGCATTGTTTTTACTTCAGAAGTCCAAAAATCACTAGAGATGAAACTAGCGAGAGTCACTCGCTAATTCAAACAACACCACAAGTAGAATTTTCCATTCTACAGAATCCTCCAGAAAGTTAGAAAATTCGTCAAAGAAAGCCTGAACGACACAGGATAGTTTGTCGTGGTTTTTAGAAAATTAACTTCTTTTTGTTGTGATAGTTGGTGTTGTGATAGTTTTAGCTACTCTTAATGTTCCAGAAGCTCTATAGCTCTTTTTGTTGCGGAAGTTTTTTAAGATTTCAAAAGTAAAGATTTGAGTTCTATGGATTGACTAAAGGTTTAATAATTACACAATTTACTGCAGTTTCAAAAGATCTCAGATGTTCCTAAAATTCTCGAAGCACCACAATTTTCCAGAGATATTGGAAGATTGAAAAGCTCTCGAATAGCTTGACATCAACTTACTAGCAAGTCATTTTTAGAGTTGCTGAAATTCTTTAAATTGATAGGATATGACGAGTTTTGTACACCACTGAAGTTTCAAAAGTTCTCGCAGTTCCGGGAGTATCGAGTTTATCGGAAGTTTAGCTCTAATCTTAGAACGTTCAATATCCAAAGAACTGCAAGAAATAATTTCCAAAAAAAAAGAATTCCAAAATTGCAAGAGTAGAACTAAATTTAAAACTAAAAATAAGCTTCAAACATATATTCAGAATTCTCGAAGCACCAGCTACATAGTTCTTTTAGTCGCTTCCGGCAGTTTTCAAAGTTACGGCCAAAGTTACAAAAGATTTCGAAGATCTTGAAGTTCTAGTTTCAGATTCAGATCACCGAAATCGGTAGAATTTTACCTGGTTTTGAATCGGTATTTTTTTTTATAAATAAATGGGGTAAACTGAACAACGTCTGTACTAGCTCGGAGTACATTTACTTATTATTGGATTTGTCACTGATTTTTAAACTTACCAAACAGTTCTGTAGTTCAAAATATACTGAACATGGCCTGGATTACTGTGCACTAGAGTTGATATAAGTACTCTAAATTCTGACTGTTTGTAGAATTCGGAACATCTCTGAAATTCCTCAAGCTCTCGTAGTTCCGGAAGTATTTAGAGGAGTTTTTAACCACCTACTTTCGATATTCCAAAAACTTCAAGAACAGCAAGAAATAAGCCCCAAAAACACCCGAAAATGCAGCGATTCTTAGAAGCCAAAATCTCAAAATTTTCTCCGGGCACACCTGTTAACGAGATTTTTGGTATTTCGGGAGGCTTTTAAAACTCGAATGCCTCCCGGAACAACTAGGCATACTTTTGGAACACCAAAAACCATTGGAACTTAGAGAACTATCTTTTGAGAAAGCTGGACGGAAAAATTGTTGTTGTTTTATGAGTTCTCTCGCTTTTAAGCCTTTGGAGGAGTTCCAGGCAACTTCATAAATGTTTGAAACTCCGGCCAATCTAGCCACGTTGATAATATCCAGAACTTGGAAAGCTCTCGAAATTTCGAAAAAATTCAGTATTTCAGGAAGGATCTCTGTAAGCAACAGAAATTCCCTGGAGTTTCCGTAAAATCTCGAATTATCGATGTTATACCTAAACGCAAACCTGCTGTGAGAACTGTCAAAATCCTATGAATTTACACGCTGAATTAGTGTTCGTGAGAGCTCAATGAGAGCGGCAGTAAAAAAACTCGATCACAGAAAACTCTCCTATATACAGTGAACTATCTTTAACTCGATATTGAAGGGACCATCGAGTTATAGAACAATAATCTCATAGGAAATCAGCATCACAGTATGATTTTTCCTATGGTTCTATAACTGGATATCGAATTAGTGGACATCGAGTTGTGGAGAGTTGACTGTAGCTGTAATTTGTAATGTTTCTGCATTATTAAACCTGCCTGTGTTACAACCTGTGTTGCAAAAAAAGACGGTAATCTACAGTTACAAACGAAAATAACAAGGAAAGCATTGTCAAGTTACTAAAAATGTATAAGTCTAAAGTTTTACACTTAGCTGTTGGGCGTCAAGCGCCTTCGGTCGGCAAAAAAGGCAGAGAATCTTCGGCGAAGCATATTTCGTGTCAAGTGGAAATCGAACATCGACGCTACACTCGCTGCAAGCCGTAAGTAGCGCTCCCTAAGCTATAATTAGTTCGAAGAAGTGGAAGTCTTAGCAAAAGACTGTTGCGTAGTGATCGAGGTTTTGTAGCAGAATTGCTTTGCAGTCGATTCTTCCTTGCAGAGTATCGGCGACGGTTAAGGCTCTGAAAACATCTCTTCGGATACGTAAGGGCTCGACATTGATCATTTGGCAGCGATGCTCGTAGCTTGGAAGACGAAGTGGATATCTCCAAGGCAGCTTACGGAGCGCGAAGCGAAGAAAACGTCGCTGAAAAGATTCAATTCGCTCGGCCCCATTGTTGTAGTTCGGGCTCTAGACTGCAGAGCAATATTCCAACGTAGATCGTACGAGAGAGTAATAGAGCGATTTCAAGCAGTAAATGTCTGTGAAGTTTTTAGTAATCTTGAAGACAAAACCAAGAGTTCTGGACGCTTTGTCGACGACATACGATATATGGTGTGAGTATTTCAGCTTTGGGACCAGAAAAACGCCTAAGTCTTTCACGCAATATACCAGTTCGATATTCGTGCCTAGTAGTTTGTAGTAGTAATGATTGTACACTTAGCTGGGTTGATACCACCAGTCGATTTAGACTACACCAGTCAGCAAAGATGTCAATCTGATTTTGGAGAGAACGGCAGTCGGCGAGTGAGCGGATGCGCAGAAAAACTTTCAGATCGTCTGCAAACGATAATCGTGGCCCTGTGATAACATGGTGAACGTCATCGAAGTAAAGGAGAAATACCAATGGTCCCAGATGGCTCCCCTGAGGTATACCGAGGCTTTGCGCAGAAGCTTGCTGAGCGACAAGTACCCAAAGTTACTGTCAGCTGACGCTCCGTGAGGTATTAACGAAACCATCTCAAAGATTTTCACCGATCCCTAGCCTATCTAGCTTAGCGATCGCAATTTCGTGGTTCAGCTTATCGAAGGCTGCCAAGATCTGTGTAAATAACGTCCGTTTGGGTCCGAGCAATCAAACTGTCTGTCAAAGTTTTTAAAGCTCCAAAGCTCAACTCCGCGATGGAAACTCTTGTTACGTTAATGCACACAAGTCTAGGCGGAACAGCCAAACAATGGCTTTTAACAAAAAGTTCACGTGAATCAAAACACACCCACACAAACTAACAATGCCATTCGATAGAGGAAGTTTGCTCTCTCAGTTGCTAGTGTTAGATTGCTTGGATGTGTTTTGGTTCTCGAGAAATTTGAATTTAAAGTCATTGTTTACGTTTGGTTGTTCCGCCTACTTCAAATGCTTATCGAAATAACTAAAAACTAGAGAAGAGCGGATTCAAAACAAACTGCCTTGGCAACCTATGCCTAGGTGGTTTCTAGCAACACTTCCAATGCAATCAATATAGGCGCTGCTCGATTGGCTCTGGCTTTGACAGTTCGTTTGGCTCAAAAGCAGCCAGTCCGCTCCTCTCTTATACTAGACCCTCTCTACTAAAAACTATCGATTCAGGTTTTACTGAAAGCAACTTGACATTCCTCTATTGATATTATTTAAGATTTCTAAGATCTCGTCTGGGATCTCTACGTGATTTCTAACGTCTGTTCACATAACCGCATAACCGCAGCAGAGGAATCTTGATATTGATCCCTAAGAAACATGTGATTGCTGTGATGTTAATTATTAGGATGCCGATTTAAAAGTCTTCCGAAATATGTTGACTTCTGATGATCAGAATGCCCATGTGATATTTTAGAAGCTAAACTGAGCTTTCTCACTCCAGTAGAACAAACTGCATCCAAGAATACCTAGCTAGCCGAATTGTTTTGGATCTTTGGTTCGATTATACGTCAATCATTGACAGGTAAAGTAAACATTACGGGTTTTACTAATTACAAAGCATGTTTTTTTAGGCATGCTACAATCTTAATCGCACTTAAATTCGCGATGGATTTATTTTAGAATTGCCAACAATAAAGTCAATTGAGATTTCGTAGATATTTTTAAAAGAGCTAGTTCAGTTGGATTTTTGTTGATTATGTTCTTATTTGGTGTCGTGGTTGTCATCGTACTTGACTGGCAGAACGCTGTACGTTAAACACGGATCTTATGTTTCAAGGCCATTTGCTAGCACGTCCGGTATCCCGCAAGGAAGTAATTTGAGACCGTTATTGTTTGTATTATTCTTCAATGACGCTGCATCTACCTTTGGCCACAAGTGCAAGCTCGTATATGCTGATGATCTGAAAATCTATGTGGTGGTACGCTGCATCGAGGACTGTTTTCACCTACAAATGTTGCTCAACATGTTCGTTCAGTGATGACCTTCTGTCGGTCCAAATACCCGTTAATTTATGAATACCACATCGATGATACTGTTCTTAGCAGAGTGGATCAAGTGACGGATCTTGGTGTCGTATTGGACTCGAAGCTTTCCTTTCATTCCCATTATGCATCGATTATTTCCAAGGCTAATCGTCAACTTGGCTTCATCTCTAAGATTGCCAAGGATTTCACGGATCCACACTGTCTAAAAGCATTGTATTGTTCACTCGTAACGCCGATCCTAGAAAATGCTTCAGTTGTATGGGCTCCAAACGACGTATCATGGAATCTAAGAATCGAGCGTGTGCAAAAAAGACTATACGACTTGCGCTCAGAAACCTACCGTGGTGTGATCCTTTCGAACCTTCCAGCATATCCCGATAGATGCCGTCTGCTTGATCGAAGACGTAAGCTACAACA